GCGATGACCTAATCCAGGAAACCAGTACTGAGAGCTCTTGCTGCTAAAGGAGGATCTACTGCTGGATCCTGTGTTTCATGTTGTTACCTGTGTCTAACTCTGAACCAGTTATTCTAATATCTGGATCCAAAAGCATCCGTGCCAGAACACGAGTAAAAGGTTTGTGACAACAGACATAATTAATAAAAACAGATTTTAAGTGATTTATGATACCGTGACAACATTCGCCATCAGCCTCTTCAGGAACCGGTCCTTCCCGTAGCACAGGAAGCTGTGTGTGTACAGAGAGTACTCCCGCCCGTAGAGGCGCAGCGTCTTCAGGTCTTCTTTGACCTCAACGGGCAGCTGGGTGGCGAAGGTTATCTGTGTGGACGCCCCGCCGAAATCCAGCACTCGGTCTGCCGGGGCTGAACCAGTGTCCCACAAAACTGTACTGCAGAACAAAGAAGGGGTGAAAACACGACGACGTCATGGTGTTTTGTCAGGTCGGATGACAGTGAAGAATATATAACTTTGGGTATCTTGATAAAGTTCTCTAAGAGATAGATGACAGTGACCCAGCCGTACACTCCCTCCTCCTGCCCACTCAAAATGGCAGCTCCACGGTAGTTAAAAGGGTACGACTGGATTTTCAGGCCCACTTCCTTTAGAATCTGATTTGACTGCTTTGAACTGGATCTCCTTAATTAAAGAAAATAACACAAATGTTGTTATACAAGATTGTAAAGAAATTATAAACTTCAGTTTGCATCGCCTTTCAAAAATCTTTTACAGGATCAAGATTTGGAGACATGAGGAGCCGCTTCATTTCTTCTTTAGCCTTCATCCTGATACCATGAAGAGTTTTAGGTCATTTTATGCTGGAAGACTCGTCAATGTTCCATCTTCAGTGTTCTGAGGGGAGAAGGCCCTCCTGCCTTCAGCTACATTTAGCTTTTTGATAACATTTAGCTTTATTCAAGCATTAGCTAACATTTTGTTACATTCTGCTTCTAGCTAACTTCTTCCTACATTTAGGCTTTAGCTAGCCTGATGCTACACTTAGACTTTAGCTAGAATTTAGCCTTATTTAGACCTTAACCTTAGACATTTATCTAGCTTTTTGCTCATTCTTTTGGCCTTTTTTTTTTTGCTACATTTGGCTTTTAGCCAGCATTTGTTTAAAAATTCAATTAATTTATACTTTAGCTATTCATTCAGCCTTTAGCAATATTTTTGCTACTTTTGTCCTTTAGCTAGCATGTTGCTACTTTTAGCCTTTAGCTAGCCTGTTGATACATTTAGCCTTTAGCTGGCCTTATGCTATATGTAGTTTTAAGGTTGAATTTAGTCTTCTTCAGACATTAGCTAGCATTCACACTACACTCACTACATTTGGCTTCTAGCTACCTTCTTGCTAGAATTTAGCTAGTATTTAGCTTTATTCAGACCCTAGCAGCATTTAGATAGCTTTTTTATATAACTTTTGGCTTTAAACTGGTCAGCTACTACATTTAGCCTTTGGTTGGAAATTTGCTTCATTAAAATTGTAGCTAACCGTTTGCTACATTTTGGCTTTAGCTAGCCTCAAGCTATATTTGGCCTTTAGGTTGAATTTAGTTTAATCCTGACATTAGCTAGCATTATTGTTACATTTGGGCTCTAGCTAGCCTATTGCAATATTTAAGGTTTTAGCTAGTCTGATGCTATATTTAGACTTTGGCTAGAATTTAGCTTTATTCAGACCTTAGCTAGAAGTTTGCATTTATCTAGCTTTTTGTTATTACTTTTGGCCTCTTTTGCTACTTTTGGCTTAGTCCTCTGCTACATTAAGCTTCTGGCTAGAATTTTGCATGTAAACTTTAGCAAGCCTTTTGCTACATTCAGGCTTTAGCTAGTTTTTTGATACTTTTGTTTTTAGGTGGCCTTTTGCTACATTTAATCTTTAGATAGCCTTATGCTATTTTTAGCCTTTAGTTTAAATTTTGCTTTATTCAGACTTTATGCAGTTTTTGCTACATTCTAACAATTGGCTAACCATTTGTTACATCTAGCCTTTAGCTACTCTTTTGCCACTTTTGTCTTTTAGCTATTCTTTTGCTACATTTAACATTTAGCTAGCATTCTACTATGTTTAGCCTTTTTTTGCTTTAATCAGTCTTTAGCTAGCTTTTTGCTACATTCAGCCTTTAGCTAGAATTGCTTTATTTAGACTTTAGATAGCTTTTTGCAACTTTTGTCTTTTAGCTATTCTTTTGCTACATTTAACATTTAGCTAGCATTCTACTATGTTTAGCCTTTTTTTGC